TCCTTCCTTCCTTCCTTGCTCCCTTAAAACAGCCCTTCTGTTCCCCTTGACCCCCCCCCTCCAGTCCCTCTCATCCCCAGGCGTTTGGCTAAGATGATGGGCGCTGTAGTCCGAGGCATCCAGAGGAGAAGAGCAAGGCGGCTGTTGGCTACCTCTGATTCTTTTTCCCAGCCAGTTATGGGCAGGCAGGACTCCAAGGGGCTGCAGGGGAGGGGAGGGGAGGGTGAAGGAAGGGCAAGCTGGCAGCGATGGGGTTGGGGGGGGGTGTCAAGATCAAAGCTGCAGAGGTGCCTATTAATAGCTGTTTATAGCATCGCATAGGACGGTGGGAAATCGCAGCCCCAGTTTGGGATGAGGGACGGGGCAGGGGGAAAGCCACCAGCAAAGAATCCTTTGCACACCCATGTGCAAAGCCGAACCCACCTTGTGCAAAGCCTGACTACCCCACGTGCAAAGGTCCCAAAGCTGGACTCCCCCATCCTTGCCCACTCCCCAAAAGGGTGCTCGCAAGAAGGGCACAAGGGCTGCCCTCTCCCTTTACACACACACACACACAGGTTGCAAAAGTGCCTCGGCTCTTTAAATTTAGCCGGCCTGACATTTGGCGTGAACTTTTGCTACCTGATTCCAGCTCTGGCTTGTTGTGTCAGCAGGAGCCTTGCAAGAGATACTAGATACTGCTTGCAAACTTTTAGCAAGGGCTGAGTTAGCGCAGCTGGGTGGGAAAAGGTCAGGAAAGGAGCTGCAGGCTGGTGGAGTCCCCTGGCACAGCTTTTTTTTGGGGGGGGGGGGGGGGGGGGGAAATGGCTTGCAGCAGACTGATCGGGGAAGGCCTCTCTTGGGGGGGGGGGGGGGGGGGATGTTATGGCTGCGTTTGCTCCGTTCCTGGGGTCCAGGTTTGTTTCGCACAAGATGCATTCAGTCCTAAATGCAAGTGGGTGGCATTCACACAACCCGTAAACGGAGGTTCTGCAAATGCAACCATTGAACCACTGAGTTAAATACAACCGTTTCATTTAGCGACTGTTGAAAGTTTCAGCGGCACTGAAAAAAGGGATTTTCGACCGTTTTTCACGTTTGATTATTGCAGCATCCCCATGGTCACAGGATCAAAATTCAGACTTGCTTGGCAATTGACTCATATTTATGACGGTTGCAGTGTCCTGGGGACATGTAAATCTCCTTTTGCAACCATCTGACAAGCAAAATCACGGGGGAAGCCAAATTCGCTTAATAACCAGGTTACGAACTTAACAACTGCCATGATTCCCATAACAAACGTGGGAATCGTTTTAAACTGGGGCAAATCTCACTTAACACATGTCTCACTTAGCAACAGAAATTTGGGGCTCAATTGTGGTTGTACATCAATCAAGGACTGCCTGTATGCTGCATGAACGGGAACCTTCATTCTTCGCTACGCCCACTCGCATTCCTGCAGCCAGGGGGATAAAAAACGATGGGACGGCTGGGGAATTCTGGGAGTTGAAATCCACAAGTCTTAAAAGTTGACCAGTTTGGAGATTCCTGGCATAAACTATCCTCACAACGAATGAGAATGTAATAAAATCTTGCAGTAGAGAAATCTGTTTGGATTTTCTATTCTGCTATTATTGAGGCAGGTAGCCGAGTTGTTCTTTGGTGTTTTGGGGGTCTTTCTCTTCAGATGGGTGGTTTTTTTTCTTCTTCTCCAAAATATTTATAGTCTTTTGCAAAATTTCAGGGGTTTCTCGATAGTTTGAGTCTATGGATTTGGTGCAAAGCGAGGTGTAGTTTACTTCACCAGGTTGATGGAAAATGTAACATCCATTGGTAACTGCCTTGTGAAATGAGGCATTTTTAGACACCTGAAGGCCTGAGGTCAAGGCTGGATCAACGGACCTTTTGCTAAAAATTTTAAGCTGGATGATGCCAAGTTTTTTGCTCTGGACAGCTTCTCGCATCAGGGTTTGCCACCTGTTGATAAACGTGCTGGAAATACAGCCCTTAAAAATGGTCTACTCAGTGTGCAAAGATCAGCTTCAAATAAAAGATAAAAGGGTTTAGGAATCAAAACTCAGTTCTGATTGGCTGAGTTTGCACTTCACATTAATCACAGTAATTAATAAATGGGATCATGTATGTTCATGTGTGTTTGAGAAACCCAGCTATTTTCTTAGTATGTCTATGGAGATGGCTGTACCAAAGGGTTTTTGTTTTTGTTTTTGCAAAAGACAACTAAACTTTCTTGGTTTTTAATTTGAAAACATTTCGCTTCTCATCCCAGAAGCTTCTTCAGTTCTGACTGGCTGGTGGGGAATGGAAGGATTTATAGAACATAAATCTCCTAGAATATAAATCTTCCCATTCACCACCTGTCAGTTAGAATTGAAGAAGCTTCTGGGTCGAGAAGTGAAACATTTTCAAATTAAAATCCAAGGAAGTCCAGTTGCCTTTTGGGAAAAAAAAATATCTTTGGGATTTTCATAGTACATGGTGAGAATTTTCCTGCTGTGTTGCAGCCAAAGACGGCTTCTGTATTTGGGCACCCATAATGTAGGAATTGCAGCCATCAACTTACGTCCACAACTGAGCCCAAAATTTATGTTGCTAAGTGAGAAATTTGTTTTAGTGAATTTTGCCTCATTCTACGACCTTTCTCAGCACAGTTGTTAAGTGAATCACTGAAGTTCTTAAATGAGAAACATGGCTGTTCAGTGAATCTGGCTTCCCCGTTGACTTCGCCTGTCAGAAGGTTGCAAAAGGAGATCACGTGACCCCCCCAGGGACACTGCAAACCGTCACAAATGTGAATCAGGGATCCAAAGGTAAATCACGTGACCATGGAGATGCCACAATGATCATAAATTTGAAAAACAGTCCTAAGCCACTTTTTTCAGTGCCGTTGTAACTTTGAATGGTCACTAAGAGAACTGTTGTAAATTGGAGACTACCTGTATCTTCTTATAATCTGCCAAACGCACAAAACCTCTGTTCACACAATATAGGTAGTCCCTGACTTATGTCCATTCATTTAATGCCTGCTCAAAGTTGCAACGACACTGAAACAAGTGACCCACAACGGGTCCTTGCACTTATGACTGTTGCAGCATCCCTACGGTTACGGGATCAAAATTTGGGCACTTGGCAACCAAGTATGTGTGTACAACAATGGCCGTGTCCTGAGTTCATGTGATCAGATTCCAGGTTCATTGGCCAACCGCCCAGTCAGCTGCCAACAAGTGAAGTCAAGTGGGAAGGGGGGGAAAGAAACCAGGTCCACTTAATGACCATATGGTTCACTTAAAAGACCATGGTGATTTGCTTAACGCCCTGCAGGAAAAAATGGTGTGCCACTCACTTAATGACTGCCTCGCTTAGCAATGGAAGTTCTGGTTCCAATTGTGGTTGTAAGGGAGGTTTAGCCAGGTTTCAGGTTAATGCATTGGATGTGTATTATTTTTTTTTCAGATTGCATATTTTGGCTTCTTTCTGCAAATCTCCAATTTGCAACTTCATCTCCAGTAGAATTCCAAAACCTTTCTTCTTGGGGGGGGGGGCTGTTTACTGACCCTCCCCCTGTTCTTTTGTTCCTTTCTTCTAGCGCATTTATTATCTTTCCTTGGAGTTTTACATGGGACGGACACTGCAAAACACCATGGTGAACCTGGGCTTGCAAAACGCCTGCGACGAAGCCATTTACCAGGTACGGGAGCTGCTCTTTAACTGATTGGGGAGGGGGGAGCAAGAAATTGGGGAGGGGGAAAAGCTTTAGGAAAAGTGGTAAGAAGATGGCAAAAAAAAAAGTTTGCAAAGTTGCCCCCTCCTCCTGTCTTTTGCAAGAAGGAGAATGTTATGAAAGTCAGTTTGGTCTGTTAGTTAAGGCACCAGGCTAGAAAGCGGGAGGTGGGGAGTTCTAGTTCCACCTTATCCGTGAAAGCCACCCATGATTGGGTGACTTTGGACCAATCACCAAGAGGTGGTGAGTTTTAATCCTGCCTTAAACAGGAAAGTTGTCTGGATGATTTTGGGCTAATCACCAGGGGACTGAGAGTTCTAGCTCCACCTTATCCATGAAAACCAGCTGGGTGACTTTGGGCCACTCTTTCTCCACCCAGCACAAGGTTGTTAGGTTGGGAAACATAGTATTACTTATGGTGACCGCTTTGAGTTATTTGTATAAATAATAAAGGAGGAATTCAAACCAACCATCCAATAAATATTTTGGGGTCCCAACGTTAACATTATTCTCTTTTCCTCCCTCTGCAGCTGGGCTTGGATATGGAGGAGCTGCAGGAGATTGAAGAGGACGCCGGCTTGGGCAACGGAGGATTGGGGCGGCTGGCAGGTGGGCATCCGTGAGGGGCAGATCGGGACACAGCGGCGCCCTCCCTCAGCGGGCCCAAGTTCCTGCAAAGATCTTGTCTGGTCTTGCCTTTGGCAGAGGAGAAGCCCTGTACACAACTAGACACTTGTATTTATTGTAAGAACAATAAAGGCAGGATACAAATAAATAGAAGCAACTGGTTCATCGGAAAAGGTCCTTCCAATCCCCCCTGATTTTAAAATCCTTCCTGCAGGAGGGTTTTTTTTTCCCTTTTCCCCAGACAAGGGCACCTCTGCTCAAAAATCCTCACCATCATTAGGATGGGACCTCCGAAAGTCATCTAGTCCACCCTCCGAATTGCATAGAGGTGACCATCTGGAGCAGGGGTAGTCAACCTTTTTATACCTATCGCCCACTTTTGTACCTCTGTTAGCAGTAAAATTTTCTAACCGCCCACCGGTTCCACAGTAATGGTGATTTATAAAGTAGGGGACAAAACCCCTACCGCCCACCATGGAAGCTGGAACGCCCACGAGTGGGCGGTAGGGACCAGGTTGGCTCCCACTGGTCTAGAGACTCTTCTAGACAGAGTGGCTGTTTCCCACTTAGGGATTGATTTCTACAGCGTATTCATTAGGTTGAGCATTGTCGGGCTGTTTTTGTACGCGGGCATATTGTGCAAATTCAGCCTCTCTCTGTGTGTGTGTGTGTGTGTGGCACAAGCCCAGCGAGAGCTAGCGAGAGAGAAGTCTTCAGACTAAAATGCGATCTCATTTGAGTTGAGTGGAGCTCCTGAGTTGATCTCACAGACACTCCGTGGTTCTTGCTTGCCCGTTACTAGGCAAGAGATGAACCCTGTCTGCATTTGAAGATTTCCTGTTGGTCTCCTTTCCAACTTCAACCCAGCTCTGTATTTTAAGGCCGACCATTTCAGAGGACCCTACAGGAGTAACCACTAGCTCCGTGATGGCGAACCTATGGCACGCATGCCACAAGTGACACGCAGAGCCATTTGTGCCGGCAAGCGAGCCGCAGGCAAACTTACCTCACTTAGCATGTGTGTGCCTCACAGCTGTTTTTTTTTCCGTTGGTTTGAGGTCTTTTTCCGCGGCAAGGCTTTTCAGGACTAATAGGCCTGTTTCGTCACTTCCTGTAATAATACAGGAAGTGACGAAACAGGCATATTATTCAGCCTGAAAGGCCTTGCAAAAGGCCTCAAAAATCAGCTGTGAGGCGCAGTGCAGGTAAGGGGGTGGTGGGGTGGGATTGTGTGCACATGCGCAGGGGGTGTGGGAGGTGTGTGCACTGCATTCTGGGTGCTGGAACGTGAGTGCGCACACGCTAATGCGCGCACAATTTTTGGCACAGGAGTCCAAAGAGGTTAGCCACCATTGCACTATACTCATCCAGATTTTGGCCTCCAATAAAGCTAGCTGGGGAATTCTGGGAGTTGAAGTCCACAAGTCTTAATGTTGTTGAAGTGGGACACTCCTGCTTTACAAGTGCACTTTAGTCTTCTTTCCATTCTGGTCACTGGTCCCCTTGTGGGTTTCACCATCGCCCCCCAGCTTGCTTCCTGGACTCCATGGCGACTCTCGGCTTGGCTGCTTACGGCTATGGGATCCGCTACGAATTCGGCATTTTCAACCAGAAGATCTTGGGAGGCTGGCAGGTGGAGGAGGCCGACGACTGGCTGCGTTACGGGAATCCCTGGGAGAAGGCCCGCCCGGAGTATATGATCCCTGTCCACTTCTACGGACGCGTGCAACACGGAGATGGAGAAACGAAGTGGGTTGACACACAGGTAAGCGGCTTTTGTTCCATGCGCAGGTGAGAGTCCGTGCACATCCTTGTGTTTCCTCCCCAAACGTCACAGCTTCCCAGGGATGCAACCCATCGCTTCTCTTATCCGGCATTCTGGCTGCATTCACACAAGACTTTTTGCTCCTGTTTGGAGTTCCTACAGGACAGGAAGTCCCGTTCATTTAGTCACCATTCAAAGTTGTAACGGCGCTGAAAAAAATGTTTTAGGACTTCACAGTTACAACCAGGGGTGGGATTCAAATTTTTTAACAACCGGTTCTGTGGGCATGGCTTAGGTGGTGGGCATGGGTTGGTGGTCATGTGACTGGGTGGACATGTCTTGGTGGTCATGTTACTGGCTGGGCGTGGCCAACTCAACATCACTCACATTGAGGCACACATCTCCTTGCCTGGCCTCTCATGACTGTGGGGATGCTGCAACCATCTATCTATCTACCGGTATCTATCTATCTATCTATCTATCTATCTATCTATCTATCTATCATCTATCTATCTATCTATCTATCTATCATCTATCTATCTATCATCTATCTATCTATCATCTATCTTATTCTATATCTATAACTATTGTTCTATCATTCTATCTTGTTTTATCTATCATCTATCATCATGTATCATCAAATCTATCTATCATCTATCTACCTGTCTGTCTGTCTGTCTGTGTCTGTCTATTTATCTATCATCTATCTAGCCTATTCTATTTATATCTATAATTCTATTGTTCTATCATTCTATTTTGTTTTATCTATCTATAATCTATCATCTATGTTAGGTATAACATTGATACCAAATATGGTTTGGGTGAATAAAT